CCGGCCCCCAGCGCCGCCGCTCAACTCCGCTCCGCGCCGCTTCCGCTTCCGATCCCGCCCCCCGCGGCTCCGCCCACCCCGGGGTCGCGGTTCAGCCGGGCCGGGCCGGGCCGGGCCGGGGGGAACGGGGCTGTGTGTGGGGGGAACGGCCGGGACCGCGCTGGGACCTTGATCCGTAGGGAGATAGAGAGAGACATAGAGCCATAGAGCCATGGAGATATATAGAGCCATAGAGATACAGAGCCATAGAACCATAGAGCTATGGAGATACAGAGATATAGAGCCATAGAGCCATGGAGCCATAGAGATATAGAGCCATGGAGCCATAGAGATATAGATATATAGAGCCATAGAGCCATGGAGCCATAGATATAGACATATAGAACCATAGAGCCATGGAGATATAGAGATATGGAGCCATAGAGCCATGGAGCCATAGATATAGACATATAGAACCATAGAGCCATGGAGATACAGAGATATAGAGATATGGGGCCATAGAGCCATGGAGCCATAGAGATATAGAGATACAGAGATATAGAGCCATGAAGATATAGAGATATAGAGCCATGGAGATATAGAGATACAGAGATATAGAGCCATGAAGATATAGAGATATAGAGCCATGGAGCCATAGAGATATAGAGATATAGAGCCATGGAGATATAGAGACATAAAGATACAGAGACATAGAGAGATAGAGCCATGGATCCATGGAGCCATAGAGACATAGAGCCATAGAGATATAGAGCCATAGAGATATAGAGCCATGGATCCATACAGCCATAGAGCCATAGAGCCACAGCCGGGGTTGGGTGGAAGGAACATTAAAGCCCATACATTCCCACCCCCTGCCACAGGCAGGGACCCCTTCCACTGGAGCAGCTTGCTCCAAGCCCCTGTGTCCAACCTGGCCTTGAGCACTGCCAGGGATGGGGCTGGAGGTTGGTGCTGGTCCCTGTGACCTCCTGATCGGCTCAGGAGGGGTGTGAGTCCTCCTGGGGTGGTGTCAGCCCTGGGGATGGAAGGAGCCTTCCCGTGCTTCCTTGGGGAACTTGGGTTTCCAGGGTCCGGTGGAGGGATCTCAGGGTTTGGAAGAGAAGAACAAGCAGCATCCCACCAGGATGCTCCAATCCCTGCTGGGCTCCCTCCAGGCCCCTGTTAAGGAACCCAGGCTGTGCATGCAGGGGAGGGACAGAGGCTGGGAATGGGAGCTTGCCTGGAGGGGTGGATTCCAGCCCAGACAGCGGGTGCCAGCACTGGGGGGTGAGCTGGGAGGGCTGCACAGAGCCTGTGGGGTGGGCAGGAGGCAGGGGCAGTGATTTGGGTCCCTTTGGGGGCTGGAGGATGCAGCACGGCAGTGACAGGGCTGGGGGTGAGGTTGGGGTGGCTGCTTTGGAGCCTGAGCAGCCCAGAGCCAGGGGAGCCCCGTCTATCCCAGCACCATCCTACCTCCAGTCGTGGTGCTGCTGGTGGGTAAATCCCATGCACCAAGGGTGTCTGCTCCCCAGCGTTACCAGAACCCACCACAACTGCTTCAGGCACTGGGCCTTAAGGGCAGGTGAGTCCTTGGGCTGCCTCAGCTGAGCTCCAGTGAGGAAAAGCTGGAGCTGGGAAAAGCCAAACCCACTGGTTGGGAGGAATCCTGGGGGAAAGGCTCTGCTGTGGCCTGTCTGCTGCCCAGGCAAAGCGATCCCATAAGGGGGATGCTCAGGACAGTGCCCCAGAATCACTGCACTGGTACCCACCGCCTCGAACTGCATCACACCAGGCTGACCCAGCCCAGCTCTGCAGAGCCCTGCAAGGACCCAAACCTCCCCCAGCCCATGGGAACACCTCCATGGCATGAAGAAATGGGATGGGAAACACTGAAACCCCCTCGGAGTGAGGACCCCCAGGACAGAGGAGACGGGCAGGGGCAGTGTGTGAAGAGGTAGAAGTTTATTGGAATATAAACATTCAGATAACCTGTAAGATAGAAAAAACCCAACAACAACATATACAGACACGTGTTGGAAGGAGACGTTGAGGTATTTATCCACCGCCTAGGCTATCACACCTTTATTTAGTTATCTTCTTTTTAAATAGCTAAGAAAACTAGTAGCAAGGCTGCTGCAGCTGCTTGGAGAACCGGTGTTCCGATGTGAATCCCTATGGAGCACGCACACAGGCACGGGGCGTTCACATTCACTTTGGGAGCAGAGCAGCCTCCCCCTCGCCTCTTCCCCCTTTCCCAGCTCAACCGGACACTGGGAGCTGCCAGAGGAGGAGAAGCAGGTTTGGGTCTGTGGTCTGTGTTGGACACTGAACCCAGCTGGTGGCTCTCTCCCCCCCCGCAGCAGCAGCATCGGAGGCTGCGTGGGGCCTCTCTAGTTTTGGTGTGTTGAGTTTTGGCTGCTCACTGCACAACCTTGGCTGGTCTGGAGCTGGAGAGAGCCTTCAGCAAAGCAGAGCGCTTCACCCGAGGAGCAGGCCTACCCGCAGCATCGAAACCCTGAGAACTCGACAATCGAACACGGGGCGAGTGAAATGAAGGGCAGGCGGAGCGAGCGGGGATCCCTCAGCATCCCCTGGCTCCTCTGCCCCATCCCTGCTGCTGGGTTCCCTAACCCTGGCCCCAAAGCCCGGCACCTCAGTAGATCTGGAGCTCAGCAAAACCAAGGGTTGAGCCAGTGTTAAGGCCGGGCTTAGGGGAAGGGTTACACTTCACAGTCTGAGGGGTCCATCCTGCGGAAGGACCGGTTTATTGTCGCAGCTTATTTGTTACTGAGGTATCTGTTACGCATCCCGACTTGCTTCTTTCCCTGAATCGGATACAAAACAATCTGTTAGTCCCTGTCTAGTTCCAGTCTAGTTGTGTAAAGCTTATAAACATTAATACTCTAGTAGTGTCAGAGCTGTTGGAGCAGGTCAGTGATTCGAGTGCCTTTCTGTGCAAGAACACACAATGTTAGCATGTGATACATAAGCAAAACCACCCATTACTAAACCTCTGCTCCCCAGGACCAGAGAAGAAAGCATAAGGAAAAGCAAAAAGTGCCCCAGTCCCACTCAGAGGAAACCCCACCCCCAAAGAAAAACCAAAACCAGATAAAAAAGGGGAAAAACCCAACAATCTGAAGGAGTCCCAGAGGCTGGAGAATCCTCCTCGAGGAGGAAACGTGGTGGGGGCCTCGTGGGATCTGCCAAGCAACCGCCCCCCAGCCAGTGAGCAGCTCGGCTTCCCCATGCCCAGCTGAGCAATGGGGTACCTGGCAGCAGCATCTCTCTCAGGACACGTGCATCCTCCTCTTCCTCCTCAAGTCCCCAGCAGGGTCAATCAACCCCTGGCATCCCAGCTCACCATTGGAGAGTGTGAGAGCCTTGGATGTGCTGCCCGAGGCTTACACAAGCCTTAGCGTGAGTACTCAAGGCAGCACAGGCAAGGAGTGCTGGGGGATGATGAAGGAGAAGCTGATATTTGAGACTTTAAAGCATTATTCATTCATTTCTACATACGTGTTTAAGCCCAATCCTCCTGCTCCTGGCTCTGTGCTTTTTAAAGCCACAGCTTTTCAGTAGTATAAAGCCAAGAGCTTCTGGGAGCAGGACATCCTGGGAGCACAGGGCTTCTTCCCAAAGGCTGCCCACTGTGGCTTGAGTCTTGCAGTGCAGACACACGTAGCTCCATGTGGGATAAAGTGGTGGCTGGGTGCAGCACCACAGGACTGAGCCATGCTGCCAGGGGCCAGAAACCGTATCTGTGTCACATAACATGTCACCTAAAGCAGAGCTGGCACCTCCACGCTGCCCTCAGCACCTCTGCCAAAGGCAAGCACAGATGCAGGAGCTTGGAAAAGGCATCAGGAGCTCAGAGACACCCTTGTGTCCAACAGGAAGGACAGCTCTTTTAAGTAAGGGGTCGCTCCTGCCTGCTTCTCCTACCTCTACCTGTCCTGCTGGGCCATGCACGTGTCTTGGGGTGATGCTGCTCAGGTTGCCCCTCGCTGGCTGAAGGCTGGGGAAGCCACTGCCCCTTTGCTCAGCCTTTTTTCCTTTGCCTTTTGCCAAACTTTGTCTTTGGTGATCGAGTTAAAAAGGAACAATAAAACACAACGTCAGCACAACCACGTATAAAAGCAAGCGATAAGATATGCCGAGGCTTCCTGAAGAGGTTCAAAACCAACCGACCCCAAAACAAACAGACAAACAAAAACCCCCAACAACAAGTACATATCTGAGGTATTTCATCTGCTCAACAAAACCTGACTCGGGTCTGGAGGATGGGAAGGACGTCACCAGGGCAGGATGGTGCTTGCACCCCATCTCCAGGCTGGGGAAGGCCAAAGAAGAGGGACAGGAGGAGACCCCCTGAGCTCATGGAGTCATGAAGGAGAGCCACAGCCAGCCTTTGCTTGCTGGCAGCTGGAGGCTTGAAGGGAACATGGGCAAGGAAGGGCTTGATTTCCTTTCCTCTGCTTCCACCCAGCAGAGCAAAAGGTCTCAACTCCACTGAGAGCTGCTTGCTTTTTGCTCACGTGCAATTAGAAGGGGACTGGGCTTGTGCAGAGGCCAGCAAGGAGATGTGTGTGATGTTAACCATGCCTGCACACACCCCACAGAGCTGCTGAATCACATCTGTGCATCACCCTCTGCTGTCTTGGTGCCCAGATGTGGAGGGCTTCTTCCAGGGGCTACTGAAAGACACCTTACGAGAAGGAAGTCACCCTGGAAGGCTCCATCAAGCTAAGGTTGTGTCAAAGGGGCAGAGGATCAAAGCACCAAGCCACCAGCAGTGCAGGGTGAATGTCAGTGGGATGAGCTCCTCAAGGGGAGAGACAAGGCGAAGGGCATTTAAAACTCGGCTGAAAGCCTGAAGGCAACAGGAGTGATGCGGCCAGCACCAGCCAGGAGGATGAAGTAGCTGATGGGATGGTTTTTAATGTGTTTATGGGTCAAATGTAGCAGTGAGAAGGTGCCTTTCCTCTTGCCAAGGCCTCAAAGAAGGAGTTGGCTCCTAAGCCAAGAGCACAGCAGAGCCTGAAGAGGAAAAGCGAGGAGGCTTCTGGCCTTCCGCAGCACAAGCCACACGAGGACGGGGTCTCAGGATTGTCAATACATGGAGATGTTTTGTGGGAAGAGCCCATTGGCTGCTGGCTCGAGGAGAACCAAGTTTCCCTGCCCCATCTCCAGCTCTTTCCACCTGCCTTGGTGACGTCTTGGCCATCTCTCACCCATCCCGCAGCTCCTAGAGATGATCCCTGATTGGAAAACGCCAGGCATGACCCCCCCCCCCTTTCCCTCCATGTCCCACCCCAACAGGAACACAGCAAACCCTGGGAGGAGGAGGAGGAGGAAGAAAACAAACAGCAAAAGGGAGGACAGAAAGGGGAGAACAAAGAATGAAGGCTGGGCAAACAGACGATGAGGAAAAAACTTGCTGGCATGGAAAGGTTTCAGCAGCAGCATCATCATCATCATCATCATCCTCTTGCCGTTGGCCAAGCCCAAAACCAGGTTCCTTGAGATGAGGTAAATCTGTGCGACTCCTTCCTGGCTCGCTCCCTGCGGAGGGCAGGGAGGAAGCTGGAGGCCAGTGTGAGACAGGAGGGCCGGGCCTTCCATCAGAGAGACCAGCTGGTGGAGGGCTCCGCGCCGGGGGTTCCCCGCGATGAGGTAGGGCTGGGAGAGCAATGGGAGCTGCTGCTGCTGCTGCACGAGCTCTGGGTGCTGGAGCCTGCAATGAGGTGGACGACGGGCTTCTGGGCAAAGAGCACTCCTGCAAGGTAGGGGAAGGGAAGGGTTAGTGGGACTGGGGGTGGCACGGCGCAAAGGGCATCCATCCAACCCCAAACGGCCCAACAGAGAGGCTCAATGCAAAACCACGCAGGCCTGTGGCATCAGGGGTCACCAGGATACTGGGAGGGATCCCCTGGGACTTGCTCCGGCAGGCTCGTGCTTACAGAGGGCAAAGATTTCAAATGGCTTCAGCACCTTTGGAGGAGAAGCAGCTTTGATCATGCTGCAGCACCAGGCCTCCTACCTTGGCTCTGTCACCTATGTGACCTGCAGATGTGAATGGCTTGAGCAGAGCATGAGGGGGACAATTCCCACTTTGCAGAGATGCATAAGGTAAACCTGAGTAAAGCCACTCCTCAGGAGAAGAGGGATAATGCTCCTTCCTATGAACACGTCTACAGACATCCCTTCCCTCAGCTGGTTAACACAACCACCATCAGAAGGAGAGGGCATTCATCCCTAGGACCAAAGGCAAGAGGAACCACCTCCTGCTGAGCAATCCAAGCTGGGCAAGTTGTGCCTGCTTGACTTTGGCAAAGGCCAGCCCCGGGATCATGCCACCCTCTCCCTGTGCCACCAGCCTGGCTCTGACCAGGTTCTTCCTCACCAGCGTAAGTCGTGCCGTTGATCTCCACGGACATGTTGATGCTCCCAATGCCATTAGGTGACAAGTTCAGCGCCGCTGCTGCCGCCGAGTCTGCTTTGTCTTCTTTCAGGAAGGAAGAGGTGAGGGTTAGAGAGAAGCTGCCCTGGTCCCTGCACCCCCCCCCAGGGATGATCAAAGGTGGACACAACCCCACGCAATGTATTCCAAGTCTACAAGGGTGGGTAAGTGTTTCAGTATGAACTAAACCCATTGGCATTCACAAACCTCTCCCTGACTCAGTCTGGAAGCCAAATTAACATCCCCCTCCAAAGCAGCAGCACAGGAGGCAAGGCTGGAGGCCTTGTATCAGCTGCATGGTGGCTATGTGGAGCCCCAGCACAGGGCTCAGGCTGCAGCAGCCCCAGTGGCCACTGGAGGGAGGGGACTATCCACAGTGCCAAGGACTGGAAGCAGGGAACACTGCTTCCCTGCCCTTACAGTGGCGATGTGGGGTTTCTGTATCCTTGGAGAGTCCTTTCTAAGCTGTGACAGGCTCCAAAGCACCTCTCCGAGCGCAGTGTTGTTCCTCTGTTGTCATTGGGAAGGTCAGACCTGCCCACAGGCAGCTGAGAAAGGTGGGAAGAGGCTCATTGAATCCTGAGGACTCAGCCTGTGGAGACTAAAATCATTCCTAGCATTTTGATGTAGGAAGTTCAGGGAGGAGAGAACAGAAACAAAGCGAGATGAGAGGGACTGAACATCACTTGATCCAATTTGAATTCCCTTGCTCTCACCGGTTCCATCCTTTGGATGTGAATGTGAGATTGAGGTGACCTTCAAACTGATGTGAACTCCCAGTCCCACTGAACTCCACAGCAGCCTGCTGCTGCTTCCAAGAGGAAGCTGCCCTGACCCTCTGCTGTATGTACTTCTTGCAAAGGGGCTCTAGACAGCATTTACCAGCATTGCTAGCAAAGGCCTCGAGAAGAAGAAGGCTTCCCTTTCTTTAAGCCATGCCCCCCAAACTTGCCTGGCCTTGTGCCTACACCCAAATGTACAATTAATAGTGGGGTGAGACCTTTAATTTCAATGGATCAAAAGGTTTGGAGGAAGCAGCTGCTGGGCCTGATGGCTGTGGAGGCTTTGCCTGTGCAGTGAAGTGCAGCCCCGGGGACAGGTAAAGGAGCCAGGGCACTTAATCAGCTTTTGAAGCCCCCATCTAAGAGTATTGATCCTGACAACGTGACCTTTCCAGGGCGACTCCCCTTCTCCAAAGCGTTTCAGGAGTGCATTTCCCAGGCCATGAATGCTGCTCAGAGGTGACCTTCTAACCCAGCCTTGCCAGGAGTTCTCTGCCTGGAGGCTGTGGAGGCCTGCAGCAGATGTTGGTAGCAATCACCTGCCTTGCTAAAAGCCATTGGGCCCCCTGCAGATACACAGGTCTTTGTGGCCTCCTCATCACACCTGACAAAGGATTCCTAAAAGCTGGATAGCTATCCATATGGAGAGAGCTGGTACCTGCATGATTGATTCAAAGGGTTCCTGAGCAGGAAAGGAGAGAAAATCATCCTCTGCAGCACAGTGCTGGTTTGAGACTCAGAGCAGGGCAGAGGAGAGCTGAGCATCTGGCACATGATGGGCTTCCCCTCCAGAATGTCTCTACCCACTGCAGAATCAGGGCTGTCTTTGGCTAGATTAAGCCATGCTCTTGGACTTGACATATACACCGGGTATTAAACATGAGGGGGTTGGAAGTGTGGCCCAAGGCAACTTCAGCTGATCCATGAAGGAAGGAGCATCCTCACAGCATAAAACAGCACTGCAAGGACAACTGAGCTAGCATCAGCTGAAACCGGTCATAGACTCAGCTAGGTTGGGAAAGACCTTTAAGATCATCAAATCCAACCATTACCCCAGCACTGCCCAGACCACCACTAACCCATGGCACACATCCAAGGTCTGTGGAGATGTAACAGCTTGAGTCCTGCAGCAATCTCACTACGCCAAGCACAGGAGGTCATAAGCTCAAGTGGGTTTTATCACCTTAGATACAGAGCTTTCTGAAGCTAGGATGCTTCTGCATCCAGGTTGGATTCAGATGAGGCTGGATGACGCATCAATAAGTAAAACCTAAAGCTTTGCAGTGACGCTCTGTTTTAACAGCTCCCTGACAGTGTGCCTGGTACCCAGAGAGATAACCAAACCTGTGTGCAAAGAGGTGTCTGGCATGCAGGAGCAGGAGCAGTTCCCTCCCTGCTGCAGCCTGCAGAGGCTTTTTGTGCATGCAGAGGTGCTGCTTACCCTTGCCATTGATTTTGATCTTCATGGGGATCTGCCGCGCCATGCTGAAGAGGTTGCGCTGAAGAGCCTGCTGCACCAGCCGCTGCTCCTCCTCGCTCATCCGGGACACCTTCTTCTCCGGAGGCTCTCCCGACTCCAGCCTCTCCCTCAGCTGCTCCAGGGTGGCTGTTCTTGCTGCCACAGTTGCCTGCTGGCTAGCCAAGGTCACTGGCACAGCGATACGATTTGGCATAGACACAGTCAAGGGCACACCGTCACCTAGGAAAGGGAATCACAGAATGGGTAGGGTTGGAAAGGACCCTAAGATCATCCAGTTCCAACCCCCTGCCATGGGCAGGGGCATCTCACAATAGACCACGTCTCCCATGGGCCTGTCCAACCTGGCCTTGAACACTGCCAGTGATGGAGCATTCACCACTTCTCTCGCAACCTGTGCCACTGCTTCACCACCCTCACAGTAACAAACTTATTCCTTATACCTAATCTAAACTTCCCCTGTTTAAGTTCAGACCCATCACCCCTTGTCCTATCACTAATGAAGAGTCCCTCCCCAGCATCCTTGTAGCTCCCTTCAGACACTGGAAGCTGCTCTGAGGTCTTCATGCAGCTTCTCCTCTCCAGGCTGAACAGCCCCACTGTTCTCAGCCTTAGTCCCTCCCACAGCCCTTCCTAAAGCAAGGTTTAAACCACGGGCAAACCCTGAGCCACCCAAATCCCACTCTTCTCAAGCCCAAAGTCACCTGGGTGGGTAAGGCAGGAAACAACCATGCTTCAGTGCCTGCACCTCTTAACTCAGCCCCCTGTTTGCAGTGGAAGTCACTGACCTTTCCTGACGGCTGCTGCTGGAGACACCCGAGGGTTGCTGGTCCCGCTGCCCGGCGCCACGCCGATGATGGGGAAGCGGATCTTAGGGGGAGACAGGAGGGAAGGAGGCCCCGTGGTGCTGGGGGAGTAGCTGAACAGAGAGGAGCTGTAGCTGGGCCGCCTGCCTTCCCGCCTGTTGCCATCGATTGCAGCCTGAAGCTCAGCGGGAGAACTGAGGGATTTCTTCTCGCACTCGTAGGCATAGAGGTACTTCATGTACCTGGGGAGAGGGGAGCACAGGCAACTCAGCAGGACATGGAATTATTCAGGAAGGCTTTCAGACCGAGGTCCTCCACAGCTCTGGAGTCTTTGTGTGCATATCACAACCACTGCTGTGCTTGGTTTGATAAAGACTGAGCAGGGTGGGTGTGGAGCACAGCTCAAAGAAACCCTGAATTTACTCAATGCCTGTAGGAAAGCACCTGCTTCCAAACTGCTACACCCACAAGGGCAGAAAAGAATCATCCAGAATTCCCTTACAGCTGTGGTACCATCTGAACTGACAAGGATTAACGTCTTGGACCAGAACTTGTAACACAAAGAGGGAAGTCTGAGGGATTTCCCTTGTCATTTGCACTGGGCAGCACCAAACCTCACTGCTCTCACCACACACATTTGGAGCAGGGCCTGTTTGTACCAAAGGCTGCAGGAATGGCAACAGAGGCTCTAATAACTTCCAAGAAAACAAGAGTTTGCACAAGAGCTGGGGTGGGCTCCCAACGCCCAACCTTCCATGCTCACGTCACTAAAGCACAGCTTCACCCTGCTGCTTTCACAATGGGTTTACTTTCATTCTTCTTCCTCTGTTTATTCTACCTCTTTTTGCCTCCTCAATGTGAAGTAATACAGGGCAGAAAGCAATCCCCACAGTAAGCAGGTGCTACATCCACGTTTCCACATGGTAGCAGTGATAACACACATGAAATGATCAAGTTCATACTTGATACCTACAGCTTGGGAGGCCTCTCCCTTCCCTCCTTGCTGGGTCAGTGCTCTCTTCAGAGACACAGCCCCAAGGAGATTAAGCTCAGATGAGGCAGGGAAGGCACAGGGTAGCATTTAACCTTTAATATCTCCACCCCAGTCCCTGCTCTGCCCTCCCCAGTCCCCACTGGGTGTTCACATCCATGCTGTTAGCCCTTCAGGACTCACTGGGTTCGAAGCGTGAAGGCGGCGCTGGTGATGGAGGTGGGCAAGTTAAGGCCTTTGGTGATCTCTCGCCAGATCTTCTTGTTGATGATTTCCACCAGCCCTCCTTTCTCAGTCACCAGCTTATAGAGCATGTAGAGATCCAGGATCTGCTTTGCCATGATGGGGATCCGATTGATGGGAGTTCCTGCGGGGAAACAGCGGGGAAGGAAGCACGGAGTCAAGAGAGAAAATGAGGCCAAGAAAAGGAGCAGGTTGGAGCTATCGATCTTCTTCCTAATAGGAAATGGAGGCAACTCTATTTGTAGCCTGACTTGAGGCCTCTTGATGGGCGAGTAAATGAGGCAGAGAAGTGTAGCTACATGGCACGTCCTTTCCATGACAAATCCTTTCCTGCAGGCAAAAGCAATTATGGGACAAATAATAAGCTGCAGCTAAAAGCAACTTCTGAACTAGAAAGAGGGGAAGTGGGGACTATTCAATCCTGGGGGTGAGGGAGCAGCACAGAGGAATCGTGTTGTGTGAGCTCCCAGGGCAATCTCAGATACAAATCTGCATTGCTCATGCTCAGGAAGGGGCTGAGCAGCTACTCATGAGCTGGGATTCAACTGCCTCACTTCCCAGGATTTGTTATCCCATATCCACATGTGTACCATGGCATAACCCTGGAGTCCTGCAACCCAACTGCTGCTGGAGCAGCGATGTGTTGTGAGAAAGCTGGAGCAATCATGGGCACGGTGGAGGTGAGCACATGAGCAGGGTAAGGGAGCATCACACATGGGTGGATGCAGGGAGAAGCACCAGGCACCCAAGTGCTTTTTAGAGTCCAGAACAAGGTCCTGTGAGGACAAAGAGGGCAAAAAGGGAGATAACTTTATCCTTGTGGTTCAATTTTGTCATCTTGTGGGTTAAGAGAGGTAAGACAAGGTGATTTTTAAGCTGATAGGGCCCTTTCAGCAGCACCTTCAAGTGCTAAAGGTGCAGGGCTTGAAAAGGCCAAACTAATGAGATTGAGGCAAGGAGAGGAAGAGGGGGGAAAACTGCTGATGCAGCAAACCTTTTCTTCTGCATAGGAAATGCTATCCTGGATCAAAGAGCCATCCATCTGAGGCCAGTATCCTGCCTACCACAATGCTCAGCACCAGCCTTCACAGGAAAGCCTGGGAAGTGCCGTAATGGACAATTATGGGATCCCCAACCCACAGGGGAGGCTTCTGCCACCGCTCAGCAGCCAGCCACTCGGTTAATGCCCCAAAGCAGAGCAGTTTATGGCCCTTATAAATGGGGTTTATTCTGTTGAGTGAAAAGGAGCTCAGCTCGGCCCTGCAGATGTCCTCATTATACATGGAAGTGTAATTTTTCCCCCCTTCTCCTTTCTTTTTGAAGCCTGTTATGCATTAGCTCATGGTTACCAATTCCCACCGGTTAACGGGATGCTGGGTAGGAAAAGGAAACTTCTCCAGCTTTAGAAGGGCTGCCTTCAATTGCACCGAGTTACTAACTCTTCAGCTGTAAGAAGACATCAAGAACAATCTGATGGGGCTCAGTCTGCAAGCTGTCGTTTTAGATCTTTCTTATCCTCTTTTCCTTGCCTGGTCTAAACAACCCTTTCCTTATCCAAAGGGAAGTCCACAGAGCAGTAATTCCAGATCCTCTTCCCATATTTCAGAGACAACAGCTCCCTCCAGGAACTCCGATGTTGGAACTGGGTGAGCTTTAAGGTCCTTTCCAACCCACACTGTTCTATGACTCTCTGATTCCCAACCTCCCTGCAGCTCTCCCAGCTGTGCCATTCCAGAACCCAGTTCTTCCCAAAAGGAATAACCCCAGCCACCATTTTGTCTCGGTGTGCTATTGCAGGGCTCCGGAGCACACCCAGCGTCATTCCAGCCACACAGAGGGCTGGGAGTGCTCATGTTACCAGCCTGGAGTTATCATTCATCAGCTGAGCCCAGGAACCAGTCACACCCCTGCGCTGAGAGTGAGGAGCAGGGAAATGCTCCTCTCCCAGCTCTCCAGGAAGGGCCAGGAGTGGGTTTCCCACCCCAAAATGCCCCTTCCTTGATGACTCAGCATTTAGGGTGTCCCAAGCAGCACCTTGCTTCACTGAAGCAGGATCAAGACCCTCACTCCCCAACCCCTCCAGCAACCCCGTGCTGCTCAAGGCCACCCGCTTCTCCCCAATCCAATTTAGGGAAGAGCATTAACTTGCCCAGAAGGGACTTTCATCCAGCTCTCCTTGGACAGTGACCAGATGGAGAGTGAAAGGGAAGGGTCACAGATAAGGCTCCTCAGGCAAAAAAGCTGCTAATGCAGGACTAGAAGGAAATAATCTACTGTGTAATACCCTGCAGTTCTGAAGGCAGCTGCATGCTTCTCTGCATTCTCCCATCCCAGCAGCTGAAAAGGTACATGAGGATACTTCTCCAAACACCCCTGTGAAAGGCACAGACATCATCTACACCAGCAAGAAATAAAGGCTAAAATGGGTTTCTGCTCCTAGCTGGAATAGAACAGCAATCAGCTCTGCCCTCCCCGCCTCACATTACTACCCCTTCGACACCTTCCCTTCCTGAAGCTTGCTTTGAAACAAGCCCCACAGACCAAAGTGCCCTGAAATGTCATTAATAGCTTTATAAACTGAGCTGAAACCTAGAGCTCCCCCCTCGAGCCCATAAAACTCCTTTATGCAGGCTGAGAAACTTTACAACAGGGAGCAAACTACTTCCATCCCTCTACTACTGGAGCAAGGAGCTGGGATCATTTTCCTCCTGTGTTTACTTGGTACCACACCAAGTAATATCCCCCCGGGCTGGGGTTTGGACCTTGTACTTTTTGGAGCAAGGTGGAAATGGGCATGTTCCCTAGGATCTGAGTGCTAAAGAGTAGAGGAGCACAGGAAAGCTGCTCCCATTCCCTTCTCCACCCCCAATCCCCGGCTGAGGAAAGGCAAAGTGATAAAGTCTTTATTGGAAACCCCCAGTGCTCCAACAGGAAAGGGTGAAAAACGAGTATCATGGGAGGATTGGATGCTGAAGCCGAGCGGATCCTTTCACAGGCGGCTGCAAGGCTTGTCAGGGGCCATGATGGATTACTGTCATCTGGCAGCATCAGGATTAATGATGTGGAGGTCAGAGGGGAGAATTCCAGAGGGAAAGGTCAGCAGCCAGGGGCACAGCGTAAGACTTGTTGCCTTTTGATGGCAAACTCGTTTTACTGTACTTCCAAGGCTCTCTATCCTGCCGGCTCTCAAATGCTGTACTTACTGTGCCTGCAAAGAGCTAAAGCCTATCGCAGGAAGAGGGCGATGAAAATGACTGCCTCCTCTCCTACTTTTCCTGGTCTCTTTCTTTAGCACAACCCCAGCTCCATAAGCACGAGCCATTCCTATCAGGAATCAGTCAAGGGGGGGCACAAGGAATCTGTTTCCACTGGAAAAAGGGATGATTCATAGTTGAGGAGCACGGGAGACCTGAAGAAGACAAACTCTAGGGCAGGGAAACTCTGGAAGGGGAAGGAAGAAGCACCCCATTGCCCATGGTTTTCCAAAGGGAAAGACAGCTCTAACGACAATAGCAGATTCTGGAGGAAGCCTGACTGTAGCTATAAACATCTCCATCCTTCCAGGGAACAAGCAGCCCTCTCTGCCAGGCTGTTTCACTCCATTCAAGAGCCTCTTGTTTCAGGCAGATGTTAACAGAAGGCTTCTAGGGATAGGCTTCAACGTCCCCTATGTCCCTAGTGCTGGAGAGGAGCAAGTGTTTGATTTCCTTCCTTCAAGAGCTATTTAAGAAGGGCCTGAGGAAGCTGTAAGCCCAGCTAATCTCTAAGGACAGCTTCTGCACCTCTTGGCAATGAACCAGGGGCACTGGCTGAGCCATCACACAGCTTCTGCTCCCCAGCCACTGGCTCAGAGCTGGGGCTCAGCTTTCCATTGCTTGAAGGGGAATTAAGCTTTGGACCAAGGTCTTCCTCACTCACCCAAGCATGCTGCCAAAGTTGGGTTTTATTCCTCCTCTTCATCCTATCTAAACCAGACTTCAGAGTGGGGTCTAAATCTGGAGGTGTAAACTGCTGTTACACAACAAAACACTGCTCCTGTGAGCCTGTTCTTAGCCAAATTATAGAAGGTGATTGATGAAAATGAGAATGCAAGTCCCCTGCGAGGGCCACTCTGTGCTCTGCTCCCCTCGTGCCGAGCCATGCCCACTGCAGGGAGTTCCCCGCATCAAGCAGCCTAAGCCATGACTTGCCCTGCACTCAAGAGACAAAGAGCAGTTAATTATATCCAGCCTGGAGCAGTACTTTTCCAACCACCTCCCTTTTCAGCCCCCCATCCAATTTACTTTCAGAAGTGGCCATTTTTTAGTAAGGAACAAAGGAAGGTGAGAATTCCAAACATTTATTCTGCAGAGCCACATTCACGTTGCAATAAAGCACACCCCGGAGTGAAAAACAGGCAGAGAGGGGACATTCTGAAGCCACAACCTGTCCAGGTAAGGAAAGAGCTGCTCTTTCCACCTTTCACTCTGAGGATGGTCAGAAGAGAAGCAGCATCAACCAGCCAAAAGGGACAACTTCTCCCCAGGAGCCTGGCGAAGGCTGCAGTGATTGAAAATGTATTTGAAGCAACTCTTGAAGAGATCTTCATGTTTCTTTGATGGGACACAGTGTAATTACCTGGTAGGAATGCTCTCCCCACTCTCCCAGCCCTGACAGAGGTAAAATACAGTTCAAATGCAAGCAAATCAACTTGAACCCTGCACTATCTCAGCTCCTGGTGTGCCTGAATTCCTCTCCAAGGACAAACCCTGGCTGGCTTCATGCAGAGCCGCCTGCTCAGCCACCCCAGCGTTAGCTGTTGGGTTGACTGGATGGCAAAGGAAAAAGCAAAGCCTCCAGAAGGGAAACCAGCTCTTCCCTATCCTCCTTGTGGTGCCACAGCTGATGTAATCTCTCCCTACGCATGGCACTTCCCCAGCAGGCATCCTCACCTCCCAACAGGAATGTCACCACCTGATCCGAAAGCCTGCAGACCATTAGACACTCCTATCAAAGCGGGAGCCGGGCTAGAGGGTAATTAATCATGCTCTATTTGACAGGAGGCCCACTTCTTATCTGCACCCCTTGAAACGCCATCAGTCGCTGCTTCCCTCCTCGATAAATGAAGCTGACAGCAGCTCCTGA